ATTATAGCCAATAGTAGAACATAGATTATTATAGCCAATAGTAGAACATAGATTATTATAGCCAAGTAGTAGAACATAGATTATTATAGCCAGTAGTAGAACATAGATTATTATAGCCAATAGTAGAACATAGATTATTATAGCCAACAGTAGAACATAGATTATTATAGCCTATAGTAGAACATAGATTATTATAGCCTATAGTAGAACATAGATTATTATAGCCAATAGTAGAACATAGATTATTATAGCCAACAGTAGAACATAGATTATTATAGCCAACAGTAGAACATAGATTATTATAGTCAATAGTAGAACATACATTATTATAGTCAATAGTAGAACATAGATTATTATAGCCAACAGTAGAACATAGATTATTATAGCCAACAGTAGAACATAGATTATTATAGCCAATAGTAGAACATAGATTATTATAGCCAGTAGTAGAACATGGATTATTATAACCAAAAGTAGAACATAGATTATTATAGTCAATACATTGAAATAAATTAACGATTAGGTTTGAAAGCTCATTTTAGGCTTATACTCGATGCCCCCCCCCCAGTGGCACAGCGGTATGTCTCCGGACTTACAACGCTAGAATCCGGGTTTCGATGCCCGTGGTGGGCAGAGCATAGATAGCCCATCGTGTAGCTTTGTAGTAGTATTCGAAATTCGTTATATTTTAAGTTTATACTCGATGGCTAAAGTTATTAAACATCATTAACAAGGTGATTATTTAAGTGTTATAGTACGTAAAAAAAAAGCGGTAGAATTTGGCGTTTTTATTGAACCCGGAACTGTGGGATTACTGTGTCTTTTTTTGATAACCGATTTGAGTTTTTTCCAAAAAAATTCACAGTTACACTATTTTCTGCCAATATCAGACAGCAGCCCACACGATATCCCGCCTTTTATCTTATAGACCTGTGCCCTACGTATTACATCTGCTTCTGTAAAACAGTTCTGTAATCAAGTTTGATGGATATGTCGTTATACTGAAGTCAATATCCTTTTCAAGGTTACTGTTGCCGTGTGTTTTATCTGAATTTCCCTTTGTTTTCTCTACTCCGCCATCTATTGACGAATAGCATTACTATTGTAATTTACAATTTATTTCACATTTCAGACGGTTTTTCCTAATCCATTTCTCGCTTTTCAAGCAACGCTCGATTTTATATTCTATTTTTGAGTTAAGTTTGTAATGAAAGGGCACCGTATTTGCCAGAGGAATAAAAATCAAATACGAGATTTTAGTACGTTATTATATAGTTGCAAGAGGTAGAAGGTTTAATCTACCATTTATTGTGCGCGTATTTTATTTAATGACGTAATATGACGTAACAACCAATCACCTTCTTACACTTTAATATTAGAGATTGGGGCCTTTTGATTACTCTAGGTGGCGATGTTATTTCCGAAAACCTATTGTTTGTATTGACCCATTAAAGCTCCAGACGGCTGTAAATTGGTGATAAATCTGAAAATATATAATTATAGTTTTAAAGTATCACATATAACTAAGTCAAAAAGGCACTGACAGTTGCTAAGAGATAAGATCCATGAACTTCTCGTTGCTAGGAAACCGCGTGACGTAAACTTGAAACCCATGTAGTTATCTTTGTATTTTATAAGATATATTAAATTATCTTTACAAACATTATATATATATATATATATATAAACATAATCTTATTGTTGAACTTATTAGATTGATAATTAATATTAACGACCTATCAGAGCAAGAAACATACGAACGTACTGAAATGCAAAATAAAACTCAAGACAATAACGCTTACCTTGCTCTATTGTAAAAACTAGGATGCATTGCTTCATCAGTTGATTATCTAGGCAGTTCGACCGTAAACCCAATAATATCTCACGATAGTTGTTTCACGTACATATGTTATGCATTGTAAATTAATGACATGGTAGTTACATCATACAGTATGTTTTACGAACTGTTTTTTTTTATATAGTTCCTTGTGTCGTTCCCTATCCGCCAGAGGGCCATTACAAGACTTTACAGCATCATCCTTTCCCTCTGATCAATCATACTGCACCTCCATTCCCCCAAAGCCATCTTCATCTTACGAGTCCGAGTTCATCTCACCCCGTGAGGTTACCCCATCACCCACATCAACATTCTCAACTCTCCCCGACTAATAATCCCATGGCATTACCAAGACCTTCATCATCTTCCGGACTTCAATCGCCCACCGAAAAGCCATCTGCTATACCAACGTCCGTTATCACGGCGGCTCATAGCAACAGTAACCTTGGAAACGACACAGATCCGTCCTTCTACGTTGAAGATCTCTCTTTCCAGCCACGAGTCAAGAAGAAAGGTAAATATTGTCGACTGTAGTTTTTTTTTATCTTCTCTTCTTTCTGACAATTTAAAAAAAAAAAAGAAAGAAAACCGTAAACCTGGAGAATGGAGATCCAATTTCCGAAAACGCTCGGGTTCTGATCTTTCTCTCTCCCTTTTTTTTTTAATTGCTTTATTATTATTTTGTGATCCCACGTGCTTCTGCAGTCAATATGTTGATAAAATTATTCAATCATTATACATATAGTATTTCGAAATAACAAGTTATTGTGATAACGTTATTTCTTTAAAATATAAAACTTAATTGTATCAATCATTTAATTTTAATGTCATCCTTATTTATACACGAGTTCTAAATTTTATAGGTGGTTGTTAAGTTTTTGTTTGAAGCTACACAATGGGCTATCTGTGTTCTGCCCACCACGGGTATCGAAACCCGGATTCTATCGTTGTAAGTCCGCAGACATACCGATGTGCCACTGGGGGGGCTCTAAATTTTATAGGTAGTTGTTAGGTTTTTGTTTGAAGCTACACAATGGGCTATTTTTGCTCTGCTCCCCCATCCCGGTATCGAAACCCGGTTTCTAGAATTGTAAGTCCGCAGACTTTACTACTGTGCCTCTGTCACCTGGGTGGATGGGTGGGGGTGGCTATAGGTAATTGCTGTTGTCTTCTGATACTAGTAATGCGATAAAAACATTAATTATATTAAATACAAAGTACTTGCAAAAGTTATGCCATGTTATGAAAATGTATATTTTTTACCAGTTTTTAGTATTTTAACAAGTGTTAAACTGACGTTTCTAAGGTTACAAATGTGTAAGGTAAGAAAGAAAGACAATAACAACAAAAAAAAACACGTGATGATAAAGCCATCTGGCGATGGAATAAAATGTAACGTTTACAAACGTAAACTTGTTCGTTTTTTTATATACAACTCCGTTACTGTTTAGAGTTAAGTAATTCCCATTATTTAGAGAAAGTGCCCGTATGTACGATATTTTAGACAAAAAATGAATAGTTTCGTTTTCGTAAGGTCAAAATTTTAAACCCGGTGGCATTATTTTATATCAACCACTGTTAACGAGAGTGTAACATTACAGTTATCACGTTACGAGACAATCGAATCGCTGTTAATGAAATGTTCATGTATCCGACCACTTGTTTTTTTGTTTTCCTGTCAGGCCGAAAGCCGAAGAATTTTGATGGTAACATTTCATCTTCCGGCAAGAGAAGAAACAAAGAAGGTATGTCGCCAGTTATTACGCATGCTCTGTATGACATTTTCAAAATTTCCAATTGCACGAATGAAATAAAGAAATAGATAAAAGTCTACGCACTAACACGTACAGTATCTCGATAATGCATTTCTTGTTAGGCTTATCTAAAAGGCGTTTCATTAGGCTTAAGGAGATTGTCATCGTTAAAGAAGCGTCTTTTAATTTTCAGTATACACAAAACACATCTAGATTTGATTTTTGACTGGTACAGAGTGTAATATAAGGAAAAGTGTGGAGGGTTTGAGTTTGGAAGATTAAAGACTGAATTTTAACTCCCGACATATGATCAACTTGGAGGGCGTTATAGATTAAACAAATGATAAATTAGAAGTTACTCGGTTTCCCGTAACACCTTATGTTTTTTTTGGTAGGTCAAGCAATAAGTTCGGTTTCTAAGGTAGACTTACCCTCGGTATTATGTTAAAGGTCAGCATGATTACTGTGTAAATCATATTTCAGTTTTTCAAGTGAAAATGTTCACGTGTTTGTCCGAAGTCACATATTGTTCTTTTTTGTGTGTTTCTGTATAGGTTCGACTACGTACTTATGGGAGTTTTTACTTAAATTGCTACAAGACAAGGAATACTGCCCTCACTACATAAAATGGACGAACAGAGAGAAAGGCATCTTTAAGCTGGTTGACTCGAAGGCTGTTTCTAAGCTGTGGGGAGTACACAAAAACAAGCCAGACATGAACTACGAGACGATGGGTCGTGCTCTCAGGTGAGGCAAGCAAGCCAAGCTGGTTTTGTACGTTTTCACTCTCAGTCGTAAATTCAATTACGATAACTTAATAACGTTCGTTTGTCTACGTCAGTAAATCAAACGATTCTTTAGTGCGTATTGTTGCTAGGACACACACACACACCCCCTGAGGGCTTATAACGCTAACATTTGGGTTTGATCCTTGCGGTGGTCACAGTAGAGAAAACTCATTGTGCAGCCTTGCGCTTAACAGCATACAAAATTCGCTTATCTATTATAATAACACCCAGTTTTTGTGTGTTTTGAAAATGCGCGCGAACCTTATTATCTAAATACGCATGCGCGCGAACTCATTTCAACGGATGTAAAAAAAAAAGGTGGTTGTAATTATAATTCAGTACAAATTTTGTACAACGACATATTAAGAGCTTATCAAAGTTTTTAAAAGGTCTAATGTAAGGTCGTAGGGTAAAGTTTAGTCCTCACTAAACTAAAACAAAAAACGTACACAAGTTACTGTGTTAATTTGTCTCTCTATCGAATATAGGCCATACTTAGGCCTAATGTTAGGCCCAAGACAAGTGGACTTAAAGATTTCGACGTCTGCGATTAGAATTCCTTTGTATTATTCTAGAAATCTTGTATTTAATGAATTACTGTTGCAATAAAGATACTAATTTGACCACAAATGTTAGACTGACCACTATAAACGACCTCTATAGATGAAAATCTGTGTAATAGAACTTAAAGGCAATGGATTACAGGTTGTTTTTTTTCTCCGAATTGTGTTTTCAAGTATTATTGCTTCAATTATAAGTTCCTTTAATTGATTAACGACTTTGTATTTTAGGTACTACTATCAGAGAGGAATCTTAGCGAAAGTAGATGGCCAAAGACTGGTGTACCAGTTTGTTGAGGTACCGAAAGAAATAGTGGAGATTGACTGTTCGGGAGCCTGATATCACCAACGGTTTGTTCCGAGATGATCATGATTATTCACGTGTGCTAGGTGTTGTCATGGGAACAGAACAGGTGTCCGAGAAGGGGGACTGACTGCGCATGTCTTGAAAATATTGTCGTGGTTGTTGAATGAACAATTTTCAGACCCGTCACCATTTCAACACTTCAGCCGAGATAAAAACGTACTGTGAAAACTGTATTTTTATATATATATATATATATATCTCAAAGGACGCTTTCTATCCATTGTTAATTCACAAATATTCCAAACAAATTTATTTATTTTTTCTATGACCTAGGTTGTTATCTGTAGCAACTGTTAATGGCTGTAATGTGAGATAAACGACATGCAACGCATATATATATGTTGTTTGACGTATCAACAATATGTGAATGATTCGTGTATACGTTTGCTCGTTACTTTTTAGCGTGTATCATACTATAGTTGTATTACTTTGTGCTTGACAAAGCGGGGTTTTAGTTGTAATATTATACTCTGGTGTAAAATGAGTAAAGAATTTAAACCCAAAAGACTATGAGAACATATTTAATTGAACGTAAAACATTATTTTTTTTTATCTACACAATTTTTACACACATGCACTACTACGATAATATGGAATACTTAAAGTGTCGCCATCTAGTGGTAAAGTTGAATCACCTTGAAAAATTAATTCGGTTTTAATAGAATTAATTTTCTTTTATGCAGTAAAATGTAAAATCTACACGACTAAAGTCCGTTACCGTGTAGTAACTGCATTAAATTTCCAAAAAAAATTTCTTTTACGTTTGATTTACTTTGCGTTTAAATCATTACGAAAAAGGGTGGAATATTTTCACGACAATTTTTTGAAAATGTTCAGGTTTTGATTTGGTAATGTCTACAATGTTCCGAGATTCAAATGTGCCTTCCAAAAAAATATAAAATAATATATATACTTATACATAAGATCTTTAATGCTTCGTGAAACTTTCAGAATTTCTAAACTTTCGTACGTACAAGTACATAAGAAAAGAGACGAGTACGAGCTATCTTTATGAGAGGATACACTTAAAGAAAAAAATATAATCAAAGTATAGGTATATAAGAAAATACGAAAAAATGCAGTGAATT